TACAGCGACTCAGATTGGGCAGGAAAGAAGGACACTAGGCGCTCAACGTCTTCAGGAATTGTTTGTCTTGACGGCCAGTGTATCTACTCCTTTTCAAGGAACCAAAAGTCAGTCAGCTTGAGCAGTGGTGAGGCAGAGTACTACGCAGGAGCTAGCGCGGCATCTGATTCTATATTGTTAAAGGAAGCAGTAGAATTCTTGACAAGGAAAATCTGCAAGGTACACTTGTACATGGACTCTTCAGCAGCTAGAGGCATCATTACAAGGCAAGGTGTAGGAAGAGTGAAGCACCTCCAGATCAGGACCCTTTTTCTCCAGGACCTCCACAAGCAAGGAACAATCAGTGTTCACCCTGTAGGAACCAAGGAAAACACAGCCGACATAGGAACCAAGCCCCTTTCAGCGAAGCGTATCAGACTGTTGTTGCATTGGTTAGGTTTTCAAACCGGAGAGAACGAACCAGTAGGCCGAGAAGAGCTCAAGGAACACAAGGCCCAAACACAAGCCAAAGCAGTTGTAAGGATGATCAAGAGCCCAGGAACTTTGTCGTTTGCAGCTTTGTTGTTTGCAGGTATTTCAGGAATTTCAGACAGTCTTCAGATTCAGAGTTGCAAGGAACAGAGTTTTGAGAGTTGTTTTCTTCAGGAAGAGTTTCAGCCAGAGTTTCAGGAACATGTTTTCTGTTTTGCAAGTGCATGTGCACAGGACGGCATATGCAGTGACACGAGTGCATGTGAGCTAGGAACGTCTGCAGGAACAGCGCATGAAACCTCATGTTTTGAGATGCTTTCACAGCTCAAGGAATTCTGCGAAACACACGCGGAACGCTCAGGCGTACAAGGAATAGTCAAGCCAGTAGCAGAAGGTCAGTAGCAGAAGGTCAAGGAACCTCAGCCATGGAAGCCAGCGCGAGCTCTGCAAGAAGCAACAACGAAGTTCTCAAGGAACTTGAACCGCTAAAGGAAGCCGCCACAGAACTCAGGAAAGCCAGCGCAGAAAGGAACGAGATCGCAGAGTCGATCAGGAAGAACACAGAAGAGTCGACGCGATTGCGTCGATCCCAGGAACACGTGGCTGGTTGCGTGAAGTCCCTGACGGGGCAAATCCAGGACGTCAAGTTTCAGGTTCAGGAGATGGCCGAGCAGAACGAAAGAGACCGCACAGAGGCCAAGGAACGCATGGCCTACGTCTTCGAGACGTGCGACAGCTTAAAGGACCAGGTACAGACGCTTGTGAACGACTTCTACGAGCAAGAAGAAGAGGAACAGGAAGAAGAGGAAAGAAAAAGAGAGGCCAAGGACAGAAGCAGAAGGAGAACTACGTCGTGAAGGACATGGACCAGGTACAGCACCTTCGAGAGCTACGTCACCTACCTCCCAGGAACACAAAGGAGAAGACGACATAAGGAACTGGTCAGACAGGAGCTACTTCGAAGGACTTCAAGAACAGGAAGAAAGCAAGGACCACTTCGGCGAGAACGAGAACGAGGCCTACGTGGACAGCGACGTTGGAGGAGAAGATCCCGGGGAGTACCCCGAAGGAGCAAAGGAACCAGAGGCAACAGGAGAAGCAGCAGCAGCAGAAGAGCAAGACGAAGAAGCAAAGGAAGAAGCAAGGAGACAAAAGATCAAGGAGATCAACGCCAAAAGCAAGGAAAGGCTTGAGGAGAAAGAGAAGGAAAAGAAGCTCTTTCCGTACCCCTACGACTACAGCAGCGAGTGGAAGGAATACTCCGAGAACGGCAACATCTACAGAGAGCACAGAGTCACAGGAGAAAAGCAATACGTGGACAAGGACTACCCGTACAAGCACGAGAAAGGAACAAAAGGAAAGGAGAAAGGAGCAAAAGCAAGCAAAGGACGGGGAAAGCCAAAGCAGCGAGCAGAGAGCACAGGATTTCGACCTCGAGATGACGATGATCGCAAATACTGGGAAGAACAAGACAGGATCTCAAAGGAACAGCAAGAGGCAAAAGCGGCAGCAGAAGAGAAGAAGAAGGCAACAGAGGAGCAGATGGCCAAAGCAAGGAGAATCCTGGAAGCGGCAGCAGAAGAGCAGGAGAAAAGAGACAAGGAAGCAGCAGGGCAGGAAGCAGCCGCAGCCGCCGAGAGAAGGCGAGAAGTGGAAGCAGCAGCCAAGGCCAAAGCAGAAAGAGAGGAACAAGAGAAGGAGGAGACAGCCGCAGCAGCAGCCAAAGCAGAGAAGGAGAAAGAAGAGGAAGCAGCCGCAACAGCAGCCAAAGAGGAGAAGGAAAGAAAGGAGCAGGAAAAGAAAAGAAAGGAGAAGGAAGCAAGGAAGAAGAGAGAGGAAAACCAAAAGCAGGCATCGGCATACATTGCCCGAAAGGAAGCAGAAAAGAAGGCAGCAGCAGCAGGAACAACGTCAGGATCAGGAGAAGTGGAACCGAGACGTGAAAAAGACAGGATGAAGAAGCTGGAACAGATGATGGAGGAGATGATGAAGGAACGTAAGGAGGATAAGGAAAGGATTGCAAGCCTTACACAGGAGCTTGAGAGCAGAGGATCGGCAGCCGGGTCGCAGGCACCCACAGAGCCAGACACAACACCAACAAAGGAGCAGGAGAAGCCAGAAGGAAAAGGAAAAGGAAGAGAAGAAGGAAAGGAGCCACCGAGCGTAACACAGCACAAGCCAGGAAAGCAAGGAAATGACGACCCAGAACTTTCCGCCAAAGGACCAGTGAACGAAGGGTCGTACCAGAAAGGAAGAGGCCGTGGAGAGTTTGAAGGAAACTGGTTTGCAGTCTACGGTTTCCAAGGCAGGAACTACCAGTGGAAGTGGAACGAAGAGAAGACCCAGTGGTACTGGTATTCAGGATCCAAGGAAACAGGTTGGAAAGCAGGATCAAAAGACAAGCAAGGAAAGGAAAAGTGCAAGTCTCAGGCAAAGCAGCTCGAGGAGTACCTCAAGGACCAGCTAGCGCAGCAGAAGGAATTCAGCAAGGACAGCGACGAAGAAGAAGAGAAAGGAAGCAAAGGCGAAGTGAACTTCCAGTGAAGCAAAGGAACAGCGAGCAGTACTGAGGCCAGTGAGCCGAGGAAAGAGCAGTGAAGCAGGACGCACACAGGAACCGTGGCACAGCCCTTTTTGTTTCTGTGGTGATCTAAGTAAGTTCAGGAACAGTCTTGTACAGTCGAGCAACCTTGGAGAGGATTGCGAGTGAACGGAAACGTTTGCGAAGAGGAACAGCATTTGTTTTGTGGTGAAAAGGAACTGCAGCGTGTTTACTTTTTGTTAAGGAAAGTCGGAGTCACCTCAGTCGAACTTTCGCTAACTCCGAAGGCGGGGTGTTAAACATTCTGCCAGGAACAGTAACACCGCTGATGCAGTGTAGTTAATGTAAAGGAACAGCCGTCACGCACACGCGACGTGCAGGCTCGAGACTACCAGGACACACTCCGCAGAGCAGGAAAAGTGTCCGCCTTTCAGAGTGAGTAGGAAAGCTTAGTGAAGCCCGTTCTTTAACACATTGGCCTAGCACCTTGGCCGCATGGCCGTATTCCGCTGGCAAGTAGCCTCGAAGCCAATTCGCACAGCCGAGGAATTGCTGGATGTGGAGCTTTTCCTTGAGCGGCGGGAAATCCACTACCGCCTGGCATCGCTCCTCATCGGGCGCACTTCCGTGCCGCCCGATACGGTGTCCGAGGAGCTTACCCTCTGACACACAGATCTCAGCCTTGGCAACGCCGAAGGAGAACCCGAAGAGAATGCTCTTGTCGAGGAATGCTTCCAACGACACCAAATGATCGAGCAGATGAGGGCACGCGTTCTTGTGCCTAGCACCCATATCCTCCCGAAGCTTGTCGTAATAGTAATCAGAGGGAGGTTCCTCGATCATCTTTTCTATATCGGCCGATTCCACGATGTGGTACACCGGCTCGTTCCTAGTGTCCACCCTGGAACCACTAGTGACATCCCGACCGTGGCTCCCTCCGAGCCCTCTGGTCGCGGATCCTGGATCCCATCCAGCCCAGCGCGGCCCCGTCTTCGTCCGGAACACCGCAAAGGTCTGCTGTGACGGGCACGGCCGCCCAGTCCACGGACTCGGGCCAATGCCTGAGATCCTGGGTCTGCCACAACCGCCAGGGCCCGCCTGAGGACTTCAGAAGGCAACTCTCATACGGGAGCTTCTCCACATCTGGCCGGTTCTCCGGATCGCCTTCCTGGGGCCTACCGCTCCAGATGCCTGCCATTCCTCCCTTCGCCTGCCACCACTGACCTTCAGTAGGGATAGAAGAAAGAAAAGACACAGCGTCCGGATCCGTAACCATGGACTCCGCGGCCCAAGGACCTCCCAAAACCGTGCTCACGGCTGCAAGGGCGAAGACCGCCCCCACTCTGAGGCCCCTTCGCCATCCCCTGCTCTGGGTGCACGAGCCACACCCCTGGAGGCCACACACAGCGGTCCTGCTGCTGCTGCTGCTGCTGCTGCTCCTGCTCCTGCTACTGCTACTGCTACTGCTACTGCTACTGCTACTGCTACTGCTACTGCTACTGCTACTCCTACTATTGCTACTGCTGGTCTTGCTTCTGCTGCTGCTCCTCCTGTCACTGCTGCCATGTACAGCATATGCTTCAACGAGACCCTCAAATTTCTGGCGTGCTTACGCAAAGTAGCCCTACCCTACCTCGGGAACGATACGTAGAATACGAAGTCAAATGGCTTTTGTCGAACGCCGCCGGTGTTTCTTCTGGCTCAGAGCTCCTGATGCCGGAATTTCAAGGCCGAGAGCTCCACGTAGTCCAGTCTCAGGTGCGATCCGAGGCCTGGTCCGCGACGGCATAGTGCAGTTGCCATTTCGAGAATACCGTACCGGCAGGCCACAATGCGCCTTGGGAGGAGGCGGCCTCTGCATTCGTAGCCGTCTCGCTGCTGTTGCGATGATTTGTGATGCACCGAACTCTCCGACCGCTTCGGCTCCAGTACGGGATGCCAATGTGCAAGCTCACAGGTAGCCTGAGCCCGTCGAAGGGGAAGTCGCATGGCGCAGATGTCTTTGAGCATTGCCGACCTGGGCAACATTTGCATCCACCTGTCCAGCTTCCTGCATAGTTCCGAGATCGCCAGCTCCGAAGAAGCTGGGATTTATTCCAAGGATGTCGCAAGATTCTTATGGTGCCAAGCCGCTATGGCCCGTCTTGCACATGTTCCCATATGGGGTCCTTCAGGGAATTCCGTGATCCAACAGCTGCTGGATTCCGGTGTGCACGGCAAAGCCTTTCTACGAGAACTACGACTTCTGAGACAAGCTGTCTTTCCTCCGAAGTCTTGGTGCCCTGCAATTCAAGAGACATCTTTCAGCAGCCTGAAGGCCGCGCAGGGTGCAGGACTCTGCCCCCGGTTTTTCCTCCGCACCATCCTTCAGCTCCGCCTTCCTCTCTCCATTCTCTCCGGTTCCGCTAGGACTAGGACTACTGTAGGACTCTCCTTCTAATTCTAGTGTCTGCGAGACAGCATGTGCTGCAGGTGCTGCCATACACGCAGGCGGATACGGAGAGCCCGCAGCCCGAAGCTGTGGTACCAGTGGAGGCAGCTGCCCAGCCCAAAGCCGATGATACTTGTAGCAAAGGAGTGACTAAAGTCGAAGAAGCCTTAGCGGAGCTGCGGAGCTGTGAGGCTGCGGTGCCCTTGGCCACAGGCACCAGGCTTGGACAGCCACTTGCGGCGGGGATGGAGCTGAAGGCCGCCGAGTCCGAGAGCTTGAAGGCCGAGGATGTGAGCTCCGGCTTCTGCCTCGGGGTACCTCGGCCTCGCATGGGGAATTGCGCATTCAAGGGTTGCTGTAGTGACTGTTGTGGGTTCATGAGGTTCTTGACACCTGCCGAGCATTGCAAGATATCTCAAAATGCTGCGATATGAATCGGTGCTGTCCTTCATGCTACCACGAGTGGCAGCTGTACTTGAGGCCTATAGATGTCCGCATGAGAATCACAAGATCGGCTTTGCCCATCTGTTAGGGAGATTTAGATCGTCAGCGTCACGTGTGTATGTTTACGTTTGTATGCGCCCTTGCGTTGGTCCGTTTCCCGATAGGGATCTCTTGATCGCAAGGTGGAGATCTGCTCTGGCCACGCAGATAGCCGCAGCATGTCGGTGATGTTTGCTCCTTTCGCTGGGCTTTGCTACATGCAGTACGGCGGCGAAAGATGTGTGATGTGTGCGACAGTCCTCCCGCCGGTTGAGAGAACAGTCACCAAGCTTCGTGCTTGGGTTCGAGTCACTGAAGAGGGCGGCCTCTTCTTTTTGCGACAAGATCCAGAGTCGGCAGAGATCGAGGAGACGGGCCTTATTCCCAAAGAAGCCCTTCCTTGTTGGAAATCAGAGTTCTTCGCCTGTATGTATTTTTGGCGAGATCATCTGTTGACACCCATCATGTCAACCGTGATCCATTCCGAGAAGATGCTTCCGGGCGACTTGCCGGAGCTGAAAGGATCGCACATCGAGCTTGATACTACCTGGCACTTAACAGGATGAAGTTTGGACTTTAATTTGCTTGGAGCCGGGCTACGTGCTGACTGCTCTCCAAGCCGAGAGCGTGGCTCTCCCAGAGGGGTGACATTTGCATGGCATCCGGCTCCTTATTTGGAGGCTGAATGCAAGAAGTAACTCTGTTATGTAATTCTCGTGCTTCGGCATCCGTTTCTCTGGCAAGCGAGGAGCTTGTCACTCTTGAGGATGTGAGGCTCGTATCGAAGCTTGCTCTATGCTTACAATGCTGTGATTTTGGTGTACGTGCTGGTAAATTTTGTTTTGCTCCTGTCTGGGTGAGGTGGTGGGAAGACGCTTCTGTTTGTTCAAGTTTGGATAGCTGGTATGAGTTGCATGTACTCATAGATGGTGTGCTCAGAGTGCAAGCATGACTCTGACTAGACCCTGATAGCAGAGCCATCGGGCATCAATGCTGGCTGCTCTGAACGAAGCCAACAAGTTTTCCCACGTGCTCGGTCATCGTGGAGTCGCAGTAAGGGATTGTACAGTAGAAGCAGTGGAGAGACACCCTTCGAATCTTCCTCTCAGGGTCCAGGAATGTGCGGCAGTATCCGAAAGTGACTGCTGGCATCGATCTGCGACTGCTGCCCTGGCACGTCGTCTGCTGGAAAGATTCCTGGTGCCTGCAGTTGACATTTGATTCTCTTCTCTGTTTGGCACTGCTCGTGACATCTGCATCCACCGTTCCACCATTTTTTGCAGTCAGCTCTCTCGCAGGGCTCCCAGATATGCCAAGGCGCTAGCTGTTCGGAGCTCAGGGTCATCTTAAGACCCTGCGACAGTTTTGCTTGAGCTTCATTCTGCGCTCTACAGGTTGGTGCCATGGTTGCACTCTCCAGGAACCTGCAGCAAGCGTTGCGCCGCTGAGCTAAATACGGCTCTCCAGCTCGCTTCCCGATTGCTGAGCTCGCAGGCAGACGACCCACGGTGCGCCGCCCCACTCTGTTACCATTTGTTACCCGTGCTGCCTTGATCATCGGAATGCCGGACTGGAGCAGGCAGCCTTTGTTGGTGCCTTCGGCGGGGAGCCTAGTCACCAGCTTTGGACGAGCAGCTTGGATTGCCATGCTTGATGTCTTCAGACAGTCTGCTATTTCAGGTCCTGAGAGGCAGCCTTTGAATGCCACAACTCTGATGGAAGTGTTTCGGGAGCTTTCTTTGGTCCACTTTTGTTGCAGACTTGCCAAATAGCTGGGCTGGGTCTGAGCCGGCGTGGTCGGCCAGGACGATGATGCAGATGCAGATGTTTTCCCACAAGAGGAGGACAGAAAGAGCTAATGCTAGAGAGATACTGTGCTGACAAAAGCCTGTTTTGGCAGCAGGACTTGCCACGTGCTCTACCTCTGGAGTACCAACTTCATGCTGGAGCTCCACAGCTGAAATCTTGAAATTCTTTCAGAGGGCTCTGTACAGTAGCATCCAGCACTGGCAGGCAGGGTCTCCCCAAACCGGGGAGATTCACTGTTCTGCTGCAGGGGCTGTGGCAGGCAACCTGGCTTGATCTTATCAAGTCAATATGAAGTTGGCAGTCTTCTGGTTCGGTTTGCTCATGGGCAAGAAGCGTACCAGCACCAGAAACTAGGACATGTACTGAACCATACGACACGTGCTGCAGGAGCTGTAGTGGGCGATGCCTGTGCATTCGCAGGGTGAGTGAGGTTGCTGTAGACTTTTCAGATGGCACCCCGAGGACAGGAAGCTGTGCACCTGCCTCGGCTTCTTTGTGCCAGCTGCAGGCACCATCTGCACATTTCCGCAGTGTCAAAGGCTGGACAGCTGGCAGCTCCAATACCAGAAGCGTAGGGAGCTCGTTGAGAGATCTTGAGAGGGAGCACGCCGAAAGGAAAGTTTTGACGACTGAGGCTTACCGGGTCTGGGAGCAAAGCTTCGAGGATGGCAGCCGCGCCTCTCAGCGAGCGTCGCCAGCACCGGTGGCCACCTCGTCTGGGTCTTCATGAGCGCTCTTTGGCTCTGTCTTGCTGGAAACCAGGCAACTCGGCGTCGTTGAGATGGCCCCCAGCCCCAGCTGATCAGCTGAGAGAAGATCTCACTCGCACCGTGTCGAGTCAGAACGTTCGAGGTCAAAAGCTCTGCTACCAGATGAAGAAGCCCTCTCTCCTGAGCAGGGGACCGGGCAGACATGGGGGTGGACCGTTTTGCAAAGAAGCTGTCTGAGGCAGGTGGATGGTACGGGTTTGGACCTGCATTTCGAAAGCTCCCTGAAGGCATCAAGGCATCACAGTTCGGGTTCCTGACATGTTGAGGGGCAATTCCAGGCCGCCCAGCCACAAAGTGTCTCCAAAGCTGAGAACGAGTGGGAGCAGCTGCAAGCCCAGTCGTCCCGTGCCTCGACTCGACTCGGAAAGATGTGCATGGCAGTGCTATGCAAGTGAGGCGTGCGGAAGTAGTGATTGGTCCACGTGCCCAAGCAAAGTATCTCAACTTCAGTGTGCCACTCGGACACGGCGCGTGCGCGCGCCTGGAGCAAAGCTTGCCTTCACGAGGCTTGCCGGTGGGAGTTGCCTTGGGCGCAGTCGTCTCCTCCAGGCCACGAAGTTGTTCCCCCCCCGCAATGATCCTTGCCGCGTTCAACTTGTAGGGGTCAGCCTGGTGATGGAGACAGACCAGGTCGCTTCAACATGAGCTGCACTTGCTCACTTGAATGCCCTGCAAGTATCGCGAGATCTTCAGGCACACCGCCTTGGCATCCAAAGTTCTTTGCAAGAGTCCCGGAAGCAAAAAGATATAAAGATCCTTTCTTCTTTGTCATACTGCGAGGCCGAGCTGAGCTGGCCAGGGCTCTATGAGCTTCGGCCTCAGCAAAGCCGCGCTGGGCGGCTGCTTCCGTGCTCGGCGACCGAGGCTCCGTGGATGGCTGCTGGAAGCTCGGACCCTCCACCAGAAAATCGGCGCTTTGAGTGGTCAGGCCGGAAGGGCCGGAAGGGGAAACTGTCCGAACTGTGTCAACCTCTCTCGGCTTCTTGGTGCCTCCAGGCGATGCGTGCATGGAGCAGCGAGAGCCTTGATTGGCACGACTGCATGCCTTGAATTGCTGCATTCCTCGCCACCGTACGGAGTGCCTAAGGTGCTGAGAACCCCTCTCCACCAGCACAGTGGTCTCTCCAGCACTTCAAGCAGCATCCTCCTGTGCGTCTCCCCAATATTGCGCCATGCTGAGACCCGACACCGCCGGGCTGTGCCTGAATGCGGTCGCAGTGGTTTCCCTTTGCTATGCCTAGACTCGTACACGCAGAGAAGGAAGAGTTTGCTGAGCAGACCGAGGTTGGCAACGGCATGGATTCTGCATCCTCCTTCCTTCGAGGCCTTGGAAGCCTCCAGGTTTTGCTGGTGGCATCGACCACCCAAAGTGTCTCTGCTCGGTCAGATCGACTTTCATGGTTGCGGACGAGATCTGATCCTTGGACGCTGCGCGGTGCCTCGAGACCAGCAGCGTCGACCTCAGGCTAGCAGATATGTGTGTGTGTGCGTACACATACACATACGCATGCTTCTTGAAATATTTACGTATATGCTACACTCTCAAAACCTGCCTCGAAGCCGGGTTTGCGCACAAAACCAACGGAACATCAACCAACCCCTTCGTCATGAAGGCGATTTGGTGACGACGATTTGAGTGTGTCTCGCAGCCTCGACTCGAGCAACCAACGATGCTGAATACTGAAGCCTTAAACTCCGCAAGACCTAGCACTAAGAAGCCGACCCGAAACGACAGCCATAAATAGCCTTCTAGTAATTTCGTGAATCGTCGTCATCACCCTACGGTTCAAGCGTTCCACACCCTCAGGTGGTGGTTGTGTCTTTCCCTGTGCGGGTTGTGCCCTTGTCCAGGCGGTGTGGTCCCCCCTGCTTTGGCGTGGCTCCTTGGCTTCGCGTGCAGTTCTCCCCTGTACAAGCGCTGGATGTCATGGGCCGATCATGACATTGACACCCGTTTCCCTCCCTTGTCAACCTGTGGTTTGGGTTGGGTTGAATATCCGCAACTTGCCTTTGTTGCCATGTTTGGGATGCGAAGTTGCCCTCAATGTTAACACCAATAGGTCTAGTGGCATTCTTACATGTTCGGCGACGATCCCATGTGTCTGTGACCGTTGTCACTCACAACCTTGGGAATGGGGGGATACCGGGATACCATGAGGGGAGGTTGGGGGTAGCCGCCCGGGACCCGGGGTCGTTCGCGCGCACGCGAGTGTGTGTGTGTGTGTGTGTGTGTGTGTGTGTGTGTGTGTGTGTGTGTGTGTTTCTGTGCGTGTGTGTGCGTGTGTCAAATCCTGGATCGAGTTGCCCAGCAGTTGTACAGATTGGGGGCACTCCACCCACGTACTTGCATTGCTTGCGACATGGTGCCTATCCTCGTCGTGCATAGCTGTAAAGTTCGGAGAAACATTTGATTTGCAGAGTGCGAACTAGTCAGAGCAAGAGATGTGTGATCGGTGACCTGCGTGTCAAGTGTCTGTGTGTGAGTGGCAAAGTCAAACTCGGCTCCTTGTGCGGACAAGTCGAGTTTACGGGAGGGTCTCGTTCGTAGCACCGTCTCTGTCTTCGGCAGTAGCTATGGCATGCATGAGGATGCTTGGCTTTGGACCTCAGGTTATGCCGGCCACGAAATTGCGCATAAGCCTGGGCCCGATTCCATTCAAAGCTTGAGCCTGCAGCCCTCAGAGCTTCAGGCTCGTGCTTGAGAAACGCTTGAGGTAGCGATGGGCCCAGCGCGCTTCTAGGCAAGAGGGGGAGCGAAGAATGCTCCGAAGCGTCATGAGCAGCATTAGCTGCTAGTCACATGAGCGTGCTCGAGGTTTGCAGAGCGGGTAGCGATAGTTTCATGAAGGAGACATGGCGGCAATTTGTGGACACCCGTCCTGCGATACCTTCTTGCAGCTAGCAGTACAGCTCACTTGTTGGCAGAGTCTCAGACCCATTCAAACTGAGGGTTTCTTGCGCCCCAGGGTTCTGAAATAAAGTGATCTCTGCAGATGTGGAACTACATAGGACTTTTCCTGGGGCACACGAGCTTTGAGCATCTTCTGCGGGCCCGGCAAGCTCAGCTCCCAACTTCTTCCCAAGCCTTTCACCTCCGCTGTGGAGGTTTGCAGAGTGCGCAAGCTGGCCTAGGTGGCCGGGTGCTCAGTTCCCCCTATCTTCGGAGCCTGGCTCAGCTTCGAGACTTGTCAAGGATCTGGGTTCGAGAGTGTGGCAGAAGTGAGCAGACCCGCACCAAGATGCCAGCGAAACACGAAAGCTGTTTGAGAAAGATGTGCTGTTCTTCAGGGCTCGGCTGGGGTGCCAAGCTTGCACTGGCGCTTGGAATTGCGAACCAAGGCAGACTGCAAGCCTTTCTGTTTCAGTCCTTTCCTGTGTCAATGTTTTGACAGCAGGTTTCGGGCAACCACGTGCAGCCACCACATTATTGCAAATAGCTTCCGTAATTGCCATGAACTGCGATGTCCGTGTGTGCTGTGCTGGAGCCAGGCTATGCGGTGACCGCGACAGGAGCATGGCACAACTCCACATCCGTAACGTGTCAAGCCGAGTGTTCGGCTCACATTCACTGAATCCATGCTTAGCTCAGATTATTTGTTTTATTCGGCTGGTGCCCCGTTCCAGCAAGGCATGAGCTGAAGTGGATGCTGTCAGAAGGCGCCGTGTTGTGTGGCGTGGGTGTTTCGATGTGTGAGAACTGCTGAGGCCAATGGGCAGGAGTCACGTTTCAAAATGGCGGTCCCGGAAGGCAGGCAGTGGCCAAGCAAACGTGCGGAAATGAACGCTTGAACATTGATACTTATAGTTCTGGGAGTTTTCGTTGCGTTTTGACGGAACTACGACTCAGTTCATCGCCGACGTTTTTTTGATGTAAAGACCTGGGAAAAGGCTCTCAAAAAGCAGAACTTAGCAGGTTGAAGGGAGCAGGGACGTGATGGTGATCAGACCAAATTAGAATAGAACGTCTAAACAGCAGATGATGCGTTCGTCATGACGAAAGGGGCCCAGGTCAGACTGTTTTGATCCTCAGAAAGGGTTTCTCGGCACACGCATTGCTTGAATGGCGTTATGCACTGGAGTCACCATTGGAAAGCCGAGGACCAATTCAAAATTCATGTCCTCTCTCATACTACCCAAGTATCGACGACACAAACGAGCAAAAGTAACACGACATCGGACAAGGCAATGCCGACTCCATGTGTGGCCCTATGAAAACAGAATAGCTCAGGCAAGTTAGACACCAGTGGACGGAGAAGAAGCAATGTCAACGAACACCACAGGTGTTATGGAGAGCCACATAAAGACGAAGATAACGAGCAAGCAAAATCTGCCAATCCGAATTGAGCCATCGCAACAACAGTTGAATCGCGAGTATCGCTCAAAGATCACAAGCAGAACGGCTTTGAAGGGCGAAGACGCAGCGACAAAGGTCATGGCAACTAAAAGCAGAGGTGCAGTAATGCTCTTTTTTTACTTTCCTTACGGCCGGTTGTTTTGCGTGGCTGCCGGCTGGTTCTGCGATCTGTTGGATGTGAACATGGCGATGAGTCATGCACCGCTTTAACACCTGCTCTATGGAGCCCACGATGTCAGAAGCCGGAGAACAGAGGTGCCCAAGTTTGATCGTACGGTTGGTTTCATACCGAGAAGGGAGACGCGTTTGCTTTTTCGGCGGATCCTTGACCTGTGCTGGTCACGATCTTCAAGGGCATAGTTTTGCAGAAGACCCCCAGTCACTAGGAGCAGGCTGCTGAAAGAGGCTCCGCGGCTTGAACAAAACTGTAAACACGAACAATAGGCAGATCATGAGCATGTTTTATGTGTTTTGAAAGTCCGTTTACTGATTCCTGGAGAATCGCACAGCATTATTCTGCACCTTCTGCTCCCTCATCCGGGCATTCATGACCAGCACACATCCGCCTTTTGTGGAATTGGTTCCAATACCTGAAAACGTGAAGCTATGACAGATGGCGCGTCTGTGTGAATGTAGCAACATTATGTCAGCTCGCTATCCACACAAAGTAAAGCTTGATTGCGTTGATTATGAGAGCGTTGAGTATGAGAGCACAATGGAACCAAGGACAACAGGCTAAATCTAAAACAGCGAACGCATGTTTGATACAACGAGGCGCTTGGTTGAGTCGGTTGCATATAAGCACGCCTTTGATGCTGTTCGTTGCATTTTAGTCCTGCGTGGAATGATTATGCTCGAATACGGTTTTTTCAAGTGGGGACTGGTGGTGGCGATCGGACCACGGTTGTCAGGATGCTAAAATTCTTGTGATAGTGTATTTGTCGTGAAACTTGCAATATGGGTAAACTTGCCTTGTCCATGCCTGTAGGCAAAGTCTAATACAGTGGCTGTTTTACCACCCATACTGGGCTAATCATTCTGCCAGCTACTTTGGCATCTCTTCTGCCTCTCACACTTGTTTTCTGGGTGGATCTTTTGCATTCGTTGTTGCCGATGAAGGTTGGCTCGGCAAGAAAGTTCAAAGGCTAGCGACTAGTGTTGTTGCTGCCCAGCAGGCCGCCACGCATTAATGCGGCCGTCGAGCTGGTTGGCCGCTGAAAATTTTGCAAAGCTCAGTGCGCTACGCCTGAGCGGTCGTGGAGGCTGTGCTGCGAACGCTTTCGACACATTCGAAGGGTGCCGGAGCTTTCGTGTTTAGCTGCAGTTGTCTGCGCCGATACAGCTGCCGGATGCTTCAGTGCACTGGCGGAGGAGCACGACTGCTGCACAGCATGCTCAAAAGGGACTAAACCTGCTTTGCGAGTTTGTGCAGACGTCTTGCGGGGATTTGCTGGGTGGTGTTGAATGTAGGATCTTGTTTTTTGCGGCTCGAAGCAGCCAAAAGTTCCCGTGGTACATGAGATGCCGGTTATCCCAAGGGCAGGCCAGTGGCATGTTTCGTGGGGGACCCACGAGTGTCGCGTTGTCTAACTAGAAGGGAAGGTTGTTTCTGAGTGTGGAGGAGTTATCGCGGGAAGCTGCTGTGAGACCTCGACTTGCCAAGGTCGCGATATGAGGTCAAAAACATCATAGGATCTGGATCATACGGCAGTGTATGCGTGGTGCTAAGTCTGTCGGTTACTCTACAGTTCACGCACGGGGCGGCAGATTGGCAACTCCCCTTTGTAGAGGCGAGGCCTATGACAAAGAGCGTGACCAGAATGTCGCAATCAAACGCGCATGTTCCCAAGACTGCCTTCTTTGAACCGACATGGAAATGCATGCTCTCAAGCCTGAGACAAGGTCAAACACATGTTTGATGACTTGGTGGACTGCAAACGGATTCTTCGAGAAACTGCTATCATGACGAGGAGAGGGGGTTCGGGGGTGGACATTGAATGCGACTTTCCGCTGATTCTGCAGGCTCACACATCCACACATTGTGCAGATCTATGATATTATTGAGCCTTGCGGCAGCAATTGTACAGCGATGTGGTTGTACTCGTTGTGAACATCGTGCAGCAGTTGAGGGCTTTCCGCGGAGAGCCCTGTGCAGATGTCTTTCGTGCCAGAGACTCCGAGGCCATCTCACATGCGCAGTTTCGACGAATTGTACATAGTCATGGAGCCGGACCCTCGGAACAACGGCATCTCGCTGAGTTGCACATCTGATAAACCGGTCAGGCTCTGTGACTCGGACATGAAGAAGCTGATCAAGACAGATGTCCTTCTCACACCTCTGCACATCAACACGTTGCTCTACAATTTGCTTGTCGGCGCGACACCCAGCATGGGATTGGGAGCTTCCCTGGCTTGACATGGGCTTCTCTCGAAGGATTGAAGTACCTGCACTCCGCGGGTATTTGGCACAGGGCTCCCAGCTCAGTTCTGCCCCAGGCGGAATTCTTAGCAGTCCTGGAGTCCAAGCAGCTCAGGATCTGAAGCCAGCCAATTGCTTGGTGAACCAGGACCTCGGCCAAACCGACCTCGGCTCTGCAGGGATGAGAACTGTCCTTTTGACGCAGAACAACACCAGGATTGCTCGGTCAAAATATGTGACTTCGGGCTCTCCAGAGCAGTTTCATCTGCGAGGCGCTCAGTGTTTGTGATTTTCACTTCGCAGGCACTCAGACATTCTTCTTTTTGCTGTCGTGGCGGTGGTGGTGGTCGTCGTCGCCGTCGCGAGCATCTTGCCCCGTAAGCACCGAGAAAGGCATGAATCGTCCTCCTACATCCTCGTCAATTTCGTCTGCCAGCCAGACACTCCTACAGGCAAATCGGGCCATCCAGACCTGTCAAAGCCGAGTCAAAGCCCCTGCGTCAAAGAGCTCATCCAATTTTTTCTTCATCCTCGTCAGGAAGACGGCCCGGAACCCTCGTCACTACCCTGCTGCTGTTGAACACACCCCAGGCACCCACACACGCCACACCCACACTCTCGTTTTCGGCTTTACTCGGTCGCACAAATGCGAGAGGATATGTTAACGCGTCACGATAGTAGCAAGATTGATTGCCAATCAAGAACCAACAAGGACGACAAGAGCAAAGAGCCTGTGACGGAAGAAATTGCTCCGACAATGACACTTTGATTAGAGAAGGGGTGATGGCCACATCTGTCTGGTAAGCACACCAGTTGCTGTGCCGTGGCCTTTGTGTCGGCCCAAGACCTGCAACACCCCATTTCTGGCATGCACCATCCCCTTGCCTGGAGCCTGCCCTGAGAGTCGCAGAACCTGCAGGGTACTTGCAACTCGAATCTTGTATGTCGTAGCGTGGACTAACTAGTATAACTATTGCGAGCCGAGCCGTGCCTGCATTTTCTTGGATCTCCGGCGCCGGCGTCCTGTTGTGTTGGGACCGGGTTGGAGTCGTGTAATGATCCACTCAGGTACAGCATGCTCCGTTGCCCAACACGCCTCGCGGCGAGGAGGAAAGCAACGAGGCAACTGGTTGTATCGGATGCAGTGAAATCTTGCAATTTATGTGCCGCGGCGGGTTCCTCGCAGCTTTTTGGTAGACATTGCCGCAGGTCGCTGGACCTGTGGTCCCCCACACAGCAAAAGCCAAAAGGACCATGACTAGGCACGTGGTCACTCGCCTGAGCCTCACTTCTTTCGCACAGCTGCCATGGGCTCTACTAGTAGGATCCACCAGAGTCAGACCAAGGGCCAGAAGGATGCTGGCAAACAGAACGGCGGTGGTCATGAACACTAACCCCCCCTTAAAAGCCCGCAGAACCTGAGAAGGTCTCCTGTTTATTGCCTAGGCTGGTACCGGGCCCCTGAGCTGATCCTCTTGCAGGCGGAAAGGGGCTCGAAGATTTGTTCAAGGCTTGGGGTTCTGGGATTCAGGGTTTGGGGATTCGGTCAGAGACCGGGGGCCAGAAGGGTTTAGCGGTTCAGAGCCGTGTGTGGGGTTTTTATGGGTTTTGGGTTTTGAGGCGTAGATGTCACGTTTCTAGATCGCAGTGCTACAAGCTCAGGCTTCATTCAATGCCGAAACATCCATCTCAAGCTCTGGTGCTTGCAATGCTTTCTCAAGGGGACTCTACTCAAAAGTGTTCATACACGACACCTTGCTGCCTTGCTCATGCCAACTGGCTAGCCAACAGCCACCAAAAGAAACCTGGGCGGGCAGCCCAATAGATTCCACTTAAAATGTCGAAGCGAGAGTTCAAGAATTCATGTCGTGAAACTCTTGTAATTGCTGCCGGTGCTCGATTCTGCAATGTCTATCGAAGTACTGGGATTTGGGGGTACGTTGGCTGGTCTCCGACATTCGCACATCATTTGCACAATTCTGAAGTGAAACTATCCATCACCCCTGAATCGTTCGTGTTTTCATCAGGATACCTACAACGAGCAGATCGACATGTGGTCCGTGGGGTGCATCTATGCAGAGCTTTTGCAAATGCTGGCCAGAGCCCCTAGTGTGAGGAAATATCGTAGGTTCCGACATGGCTTCTTGTTGCTAAGGAGGGTACCCACACTGAGGACGCCGTTCTCGGCGGTCCGTGATGTCGTACCGAAATATACACTCCCATGCAGGATCGAGGACCACTGTTTCCTGGTTCCAGCTGCTACCCACTTTCGCCGGACAGAAAGCATCGAAAGGATCCCAGATTCCACACGTGCCTAGGCGAGTTTATGGGATGAGCTTTAGACGGAAACGCACGACGGCCATAACATGTGATGGCCTAGGCCTAGATGTATTCTTTTGCCTGTGGTCCATTCCTAGGGCGTATATATGCTTTCAATGTGCCAGGCGTGGAAGACACGGCCTTAGCTGACAGAAGAGCTGACCTTTGGCTGTGGTACGGTAGATTGCCGCCGTTGCCTTCACGCCCCATAAGGTACTGACCAGCTGAACGTCATCTTCGACCTGCTTGGCACTCCCTCGGAGGCACACAGATGACCCGAGCCAGTGCATCGCGAGTTCCTGTGCGTATGGCTGTGGTTTCAGAACTTCACGCAGGCAGTAAGGCACCGCAAGAGTCCTCAAACTCCGAGCTGCATCCGCAGCAGAAAACTCTGGATAACTCTCGCACTCGACGATGGAAGCCGCAGTTGTAAGTGACTCTGCTTCGCATTGCTTTGCGGTTCAGTACGGAGACGAAAGAACTGAGCGGCGATTCTAAACCCCTCCTAGACTTCTAGGTGGCTGTACGCGAAGTTTTTTTTGCCGCCATGGCTTGTGACAGGTGCCAGAACAAGTGTCATGTTTGCTTCGCAGGATCCGTCGTGTCGAGACTGGTGCCGATACTGGGGTCAGCAAAGGTAGATCTCCGCGCGAAATTGAAACCTGAGACATCGCGAAGCGCTCCCCTCCTGTTCCGGGGTTGAAGGGCTTGGCTGTTTGTTTGGCATAAAGCCTGTGCAGAGGACAAACGCGTGGTACTGACCAAAGTTCAAGCCCTTGCCCCCAAGTGTTCTGTAGCCTTGATAAAGCGGCATTAAGTCTCGTGCACCGGCCAGCAGCAGTACCGGAACAACATGCGCGGGCGTGCTGTGAACCGTTGCGCTGTTGTCCACAGAGGATGAAAGTGCTGTCGCCCCCCGAAACTTTGAGCCCGAGCCCGGGGCAGTTGGATTTCGAAACCTGTGGTCGGGCCACGCCTCAGGCGAAATGTCTCCTGATTGATCACCCGGACGCATGTTCCGGATGCATCCGGATCACCGCTACAGGGCACAAAGTGATTCTGGGAATGTCATCCATGGACAAGCTGTCCTAGAAGACGGCCGCAGAGGCGCTCTGAAGCCTCTTCGCTTGGCCTTTTCCAGCTTTCCATGTATGGAATCTGCGCTCCTTTCGGAACGTGTCGGGGCGAAGGGATTGTTAAAGCCAGCTCCGAGCTGAGAAACAACTCAGAAAGCAAGCTTGCAGCCTCGAAAATTTTTCATGCCCCAATGGACAGGACAAGAAAAGGTAAATGAGCAGAGGTTTTGTCAGGAATTGGAGCAAGAGAGGTTGTGTATTGTTCTCCTCGCGTCGCATTCCATTTGCGCTCGTCCGTCGTTCGATTTTTGGATTGCCAACTGTCCAATATGAGTGCGGTCTTGTTTTGTTTTGTGTGCTGTTGTGGGACTGGGCCATGAATTTGCAGGGCCAAGTGCCAGCGTTTGTTTTGGAACTCTTGTCCCTGAATTGCCTGCCTTACCTGTGGAGTCCTTGGGACGACACTGCGAGTGGTTGTCATTGTCTGATTTGATGGACCGTACCAACACGGAGCATTGACGGCACTGGGCAGCCCTGCACATTGTTGGGCGACGATACGGTGGTCGGATGGATGGGCCTGCGGCCAGGGAGTGACCCCTGATGAGGGCAGGGCAAAAGAGCGAATGGCCAACAATTCAAAAGTGGGAGCCCATCGATCCTGTGTGAAAGCTGTTGTGGAAATCTCGTCCTTGCGTTACCGGCGGAGTCGAACCTGGTGATCTGCACGTTGAACAGAATCTTGTTTTTTGCGCGTGCTGTTGTGGGGCTGGACCATGAATCCACTTGCAAGTGGAAGGGCCAAGTGCCAGTTTGTGTTTTGCAGACTTCGTCGTTGAGTTGCCTGGCATGAGGGCCAAGTACTGGTACCTACTGCTAGTCCTACTATTACTGCCACTGCTACCTGCTACTACTACTACTACTACTACTACTACTACTCCCACTGCCACTGCTACTGACACTCCTACTGCTACTACAACTACTACTACTACTACTGCTACTGCTACTGCTACTGCTACTGCTACTGCTACTGCTACTGCTACAGCTACAGCTACAGCTACAGCTACAGCTACAGCTACAGCTACAGCTACTGCTACTACTACTGCTACTAGTACGAGCACTAGTACTTGTGCTCGTGCCTGTACTAGACACTACTGTCACTATTTCTATTCCTATTCCTACTACTGCCGCTGCTACTGCTGCTGCTGCTGCTGCTCCTACGACGACGACTACAACTACGACGACGGCGACGATGACGACTACTACTACTGTGATTCTGCGAACAAGAGCCCGCTGACCTGTCGGGCCAACATCCGCCGGATAGAATATCGCCGAGCTTTCGTTTTTTCCTGCTTCCGGCCCCCAAGTCAGAGATCTACGGTTGTGAACGTGCTGCAGCTTTCAAGGCGGCTCTAAGTCTGTGCCGCTGCAGGCTGAGATTGCCCAACTCCAGACGGAGGCCTTCGTTCTGCTCGCCTAAGAGCCGCGTGTTGAAACATGGCTGGTATCCCTGGCAGAGTGCATGCACAGGAGGCCAAGCAGCATATCCGGGCGCTAGCGCGGCGCGAGCGCAAAGGGGTGCCGCGAGCTGAGATGGGCCGAGCATTTCTGGCATCTGCTGAGTCGCTCAATTTTGACGTCCAGGCGAAGTCGCTTCCCGGATGCACCCGACGACTCTGTGGACTTGCTCGAGCAGCGGCCCCTGCAAAAAGTGCTTGCTTCTGCTCAAAGATCTCGGCTGCACTGCAGTGGTTTGTTTGCAAGGAAGATGCTCAAGTTCACACCGCGGGAAAGGGTTAATGTGGCCAGGCTCCCAGACGCCTGAAGGCGCAGGTCTAGTTCTTGCCGAAAGCTGTGCACCCCAAGGACCGAGCCCTCGACCACGACCTGTTCAAAAATATTCGGGACAGATCGGTTGAGACGGTTGCGCCGGGACCTGAAGATGGCATTGGATTTTCGGATCACTTCGTCGCTTTTGTTCAAAGTAAGGCCTGCACCTGTCACCCTTGAGTTTGATAAAGAGCCAGATCTTGGCGAAACAGCGCCAAAGGCTCAGGAAGTGTTAGAGGCGGGTTCATGGACCTGGTCTCGGCGTGTGATGCAACTCTACCCGGCTGAGGCTTCGAAAAGGCTTTGCGGAAGAAATCGCGAAGTTCCACAAGACTACCAGCGAGCAGTGGTCCCCGGCACGGTTCTCTTTCTGCTTATGTCATCTTTCTTCAGAGTGAAGTGCACTAGTTTGTTCTGGTCATGGCATCATGGCAGGCAGTGCCACATCCTTTGAATGAGCCGTGGTGTTTGACCTCGTGGGTAATTTGTCCAATCAAAGCTTCCTCCTCGGTTAGCAATCTGCCTCTCTGCGAGATGCATTCTGAGGAGTGCTCGGTGAAGCGTTTCACTGGTGTTCTCCATGGCAGAGTTCATCCATTGGCAATCTCGGTATTTCTGGCTCAAGCCAGCGTGAACAAATCGAATTCTGAATTGAGCCACGAATTAGACGATTCATAAACAGAAACCGACGCCACCCAAACATTATTTGACACATTTCCACTGTTGGCATGTGATGCCTGGACACATCATAAGAATTATGTAGAGCATTGTAGAGCTAAAGTTCTTCATAATTGTACAAATTGCAATTAATCTACAAATATTTCGATATCAAATGAGTTGTATACAAATAATCTGTTTTAAAGAAAGAGACAGGATAAT